TTGCTTTTACAAGGAGATTGCAGAAGGCCATTATTCGAATGTTATGACAAAACAGAAATCCCCATGAACTGGAGCTAGAACTTCTCTTCTCCACAGTGCTGAGCTACAGAGAAGGGAGGCTAGCGACACAGCTGTGAGGTTCCAGGCAGAACACGCACACTGAAGCCAGGCGCTTGGTAGTTAGAAAGAGACGACATGGGCATAGCCAGTGGCACAGCAACTACTAGCCTGTGTGGAAGTCATTGTCTTGAGATAAATACATTGTAAAATGACCTGTCAGGAGAGTCACGCTTAGACCGAGAAAGAAGCAGGTACTACTTTTTCTCTTAGGAATATATTAAGCTTATCACTGTGATATTTGTTCACAATATGGCAAAAAAAAGTTTGTAGCAGTGATTCAGCAATAATAGCTTACATCAACTACATTTATTAAAAAAAAAACTGAGCCAATAGAACTCTTGCCCTAAATAAGAAAATTTCTATATCATAGAAACATGATCAGAAATTTCAAAAATTAAAATAAAATTTCAAAAATTTTACTCTTTAATGTCTTGTATGATAGATCCCAACTGTCATCATATTTTGGTATATTTAGTGTTTTGGAATTATTAAAAATCTTAAATTGCTACAATATAGTCTTTTGCTATGCAATTGTTAAGGTAAATTGAGAGAGAGAAAAAAGCAAAACCAACAACAGAGATGAACTGAGACTACTACCTCTTTGCTTTAAGACCAGCTCTAAGATTTCTCTTCTCCGAGATGTCCTGTGTGACAGAGACATGCACCTCACAGCGAGGAGCAGCCCAGATTAGAACAGAAAACGTGGGCCGAGCATTTGGCAGAGCACACTGGTGACCGTGTGCAGGCCAAGCCAGACTTGGTAAGCCTGAAGGGCTCAGGAGCTTGCTTATGTTTTGAGAGCATGAGACGCTTCCAATTCTCATTTTATCTTCCCTTCCTTAAATGAATTAAACTTTTTTAAAAAAGAAAATATTTTACCCTTTCCATAGTTTCTTCAGGCAAGTGGAGCATGTTTCAGTC